CAAAAGCAGGCAAACCGCGGCACTCCATCCCTCGGATAATGACGTCACAGGCAGGAGTGCGCGAGGGAAGGGCAGGGCGAGTGCCAAGGGGGAGGGGGTGGAGGGAGATGGGCAGGGAAGGAGGGCATGCATAGGAAACCAACTTGTGTGGGTTGTTAGCGGTTATGCAACAGATGTCGAGGTGACGCGGATGTGTGCACGTGTCCTATGACTCAAAGGCCACGCCCATCACCCCCACACTTTCACAGCGTGTGGGTGCAGAATGTGTGCGTTCCCCCGGCATGCGGGCGTGGGTAATTGGAGTAAGCGTCGAAGTATGCGAGGGAGAGGATTCTGCCAACACCGCTACACGTGGACAGGGAAGATTGGACAAGAGGTCGGCTGAGAGGCGTTGTCACTAACAAAGCAGGTATCTGCTGTTGGCAGTCCAAGTCTGCCTGTTCCGCAAGCACTGTCCGCACCTTTCGCCTTCCGTGTCGTGACCACACCCGCATCGTTAGACGGATACAAGTACCAAGAGGGGAGGGGGGCTATGTGCACGAACGCCAAAGCCAAAATTCAAATTAAGATCTCGGCCACCTGAACTCTGTCTGACAGCGACAGCCGAATTCTTGCCCTTGCCCCTCGCCGTCATTCCCATGGCCGCCCCGTCTCGCCGTGACAACCTCTTCCTTCGAGTCAAAAAAGTGAAAGATCTTCTTCCTCTCCAATAGGCCTAACCACTTCGGGGCCGGCGGAGCTGTTGACACCGCGGACAATGGGTAAGGGGCAAGTACACACCCTGAGACGCTCCCATACACAGGTGTTTCCAAATAGTTGGACAAAGGGCGGTGTAAGCGGCACCGCGTAATGAGGCGTAACACCTGCCCGTACCTTCCCCGTGCTACCTGGCGGGCCTAAGAGGAACTGACAGCCCCGGCTCCTCCTACATTGTTGACACGACCGGCGTAAACAGCGACCCGCACACGCTCCCCTGGGGAACAAGAGGCGCCGCCCCCACGTGCATACCACTTGCTTCCTTGAGTAGACTCCTCCCCCTCCCCCTCTAATACACACACAAACAAACCGCTAAATAGGTAAATAGTGTGTCTGGTATTTTGCGGTTGACCGCGCTGGTACTCCCTTTGTCCCTTCTGTGAGGGTACCGAGCCTTACCATACGTCTTCATAAGGGGCCCTGACCGCCTTGGCTCCTGGAGTCAACGCTTCTCTGGAACTGTCATGCTAGCCATAAGAACAGGCCCCTTCGCTGTCCTATTCTGCCCCAAGAAAATGGAACAAATAATTTTCTAAAATATCTGGAGTCTCCTTCTCTACACTCGAGTAATCTTAGAACAGCTGCTGAATGAGTGGACAGAGGGAATTCCTGGAACAAACGAGGTCACTCGAAACACTCCTATCCAGACCACTCACCAGGGTCCTCCCCGCCCCCAACCCCACCAACGCATTCCAGGCCGACGATGATATTGAACACTGCAGGTCAGGCCCCAGCCTACTTCCGAACCTGCACCCCCCCCCCCCTCTCCCCGGGCCTCAATGTGACGTATGCAGAATTTGGCGAATGCTCCACTCTATGAGTCACGTGTCAGTGGTACTACACAGTAAGCAACAGCCTTCCGGGTGTTAGCGTATTCCGCTGCCCTGACATATATTCCCCTGGCATACGGTATTCCCAGGATTCCCCCCCCCCTCCTTAAAATCAGCTTCTCGGCGGCCTAACACCAACACCCTCCTTATACCAGGCACTCTACCGTTCTTTCCCATCCTCACCCTCACACTTGGTTCACTCTTACACGACTGTTGTGGCATCCCGTCCTTTTCCTTGCAGCCGAGAGAGGATCGAAACGGAGGAAATGGGATTACATCATGACAAGCGAGAGCACAAGAGAGAGACGGAAACATGGCCATCCGGGGCTTGGAGGTTCCAGGGGGAGGCCAGGGGGGGAGGCCAGAGGAGGGGCAGGGGAGGGGGGGCTAAGTGTTTGCGTGGGAATATCAAAAGTAGGGCGTGACTATAAGCAGAAGGGGGGGTAGGGGAGGCAAGATAACCTTCCCGTAAGATATCATATCAGGAATCGAATCTGTATTTCTTAATATATTTAGCTTTTCTTGAAGTACGAGATAAGGCAATTGCCACACAGATGTCGATTGATGATTATCCGTCGTATTAACATTTTAAAAAATCCGAAGCTTCGAAGTAAAGCACAGAAAACACCTCTCAGACACCCACTAGCTATCCCCCATAGGCCTACTTACACGCGCTGAAAAGTAAGCATTGAGGGAAAGAGCCTGCTGGGAGTGAGAGAGTGAAAATAGAGCTAAAAATAGATAAACCAATAGACAGATAGAGAGTGTGAGAAAGAAAGAAAGAAAGAGAGAGAGAGAGAGAGTGAAAAGAGGAAGGGAGGGGAAGCAGGAGAGGAGCAAAAACGTGTAACGCAAGGATGAGGGGAAACTAAAACTGCGTGAGAAAAGGGGAACCGTCTAAGTCAGACTCAAGCCGGAGGAGAGGATGAAGAGCTGGAGGTGAAGGATGGAGAGGGGGAGAGGAGAGGGAGAGGAGAGGGAGAGGGGAGGTGAAAGGTTGGACCGAAGGAGAGCGAGGAGTGAGCTGGGTGAGGGAGAGGGAGGGGGGGGAGGGAGGGGGGAGAGGGAGAGGGAGGGAAGAGAGGGAAAGGGAGGGGGGGAGAGGGAGAGGGAGGGGGGAGAGGGAGAGGGAGGGGGGAGAGGGAGAGGGAGAGGGAGGGGGGAGAGGGAGAGGGAGAGGGAGGGGGGAGAGGGAGAGAGAGAGAGGGAGAGGGAGAGGGAGAGGGAGAGAGAGAGAGGGAGGAGAGAGAGAGAGAGAGAGAGAGAGAGAGAGAGAGAGAGAGAGAGAGAGAGAGAGAGAGAGAGAGAGAGAGAGAGAAGCAGCATAAAGAATGACCTCGGTAAGAGGAGAAAATAGGATAAAACTGGAATAAACATGAACGAAGGATAAGACGAGTAAGATGAAACTGGAACAAAAAAAGAAAAGAAAAAAAAAGAAAAGAAAAGAAAAAAAAGGAATATAGGATAAACAGAGGGGAAAAGGGGAGCTTAGGATAGGAGTCTGCTGGTGTGCTGAAAGAGAAAGAGAGAAAGAGAGAAAGAGAGAAAGAGAGAGAGAGAGAGAGAGAGAGAGAGAGAGAGAGGGAGAGAGAGAGTAGGATGAACCTAGAGAAGGCAGAGCGAAGGATTTACAGCAAGGAGCGACCGGAGGGGAATGAAGTGGAATGCTGAGGCGAAACGCTGAGGAGCGAAGAATGCTGAGCGGGTAAATGGACGGCGCAAAAGGGACGGGAATGTGCATTGAAAAGGAATGGCACGGCCGGCGCAGTCTCCCAGTGTCTTACAGCAAGCAGCATATCACCGGCCACCGGGAAGAAACAAAGAAACAAAGACGAAGCGAAGAAGATACGCAAGGGAAAACGAATAAAAAAAGGGGGGAACGGGAAATAGGAGAGAAGGGAGAGGCGAGAGAGTGAAGGAGGGGGGGGGAGGGGGGGAGGAAGGAAGACGGGAGAAGGCTTGCCTATTAGTTTTTTGCTCGAGATGAGATTCCCAGGGTAAAATGGAGGTCGCGGGGTTAAGCTGACCTGCCAGACAGTGCTGCGAGGGAAGCCCAGACACCGGGGGGGAAGGGGGGGAGGGAAAGTCCCCGGGGCATGGGGGAATAAGGAGGGGGAGAAAGGGAGAGGGGAGGGGGGGGGGGCATACGACATGCATTAGACAGAGAGGAGCCCCGACACACACAAAGTGAGGCAGACCCTTACAGGCTGCATGGTAAGAGAGGCGACAGACACACCAGGGAGTTAAGAGGGTTCCTCAGCATGCATTAGGGGCGTACAGTGCTCACGGTACAGATTAGCGCAGCAAGGGAAAACACATCAAGGGAGAGCTTTGGCCCAGAGGGAATGAACAAAGGTCAAGACATCCACAAGGAAAGGCAAGAAAGATAAGTGGAGAAAGGGGAAAAAACGAGAGAGGGAGGAGAGGGAGGGGGAGGGGGAGAGGGAGAGGGGGAGAGAGAGAGGGGGAGAGAGAGAGAGAGAGAGAGAGAGAGAGAGAGAGAGAGAGAGAGAGAGAGAGAGAGAGAGAGAGAGAGAGAGAGAGCGCCGAAGGGAAGGAATGAGAGAAGCTCAAGAAAGGACCGAGAGGCTGTGTGGGGGTGAGCCCAGACAGACATTGGGTGTGGTAGGAATCAGACAACGAGAGAGAGAGAGAGAGAGAGAGAGAGAGAGAGAGAGAGAGAGAGAGAGAGAGAGAGAGAGAGAGAGAGAGAGAGAGAGAGAGGGTGAGAGAGCTGGGCGTGACAGACAAAGGGCTGAGGATTCCCGGTCATAAGAACGCCTCCAGAACCATGAGCTGTGACAAGTTTTGGCCAATATGTGTCTCCCAGAAGCCGGCACTGTACCGAGTCGGCCATACACTTCGCCTCCTTCATTCCATTCGATCAAAAAAAAAGGAAGGAAAATAATAAAATAAATAAATAAATAAATAAAACACTCGTCACATTTGCATACTCATTTTAGCTCTAATGCAACTAGGGGCTGACATACGGGGGATCACGGAGTCGGCTTCTGAACCTCTGGCTTTCTCACGCGATCAACGGTGAATTTTTGGCGAAGACTCTGGCCCAGACAGCCGCTCCAGCCGCCGCGGTCTGGCTGCTGTGTTCGGCCACGCCCCCACCTTCCTCCTCCCCCCCCCCTTCCCCCACGCCCACGATCTCCGCACACAAACCATCTCCCATACACACGCACGTCTACCAAACTTCTCCTCAACACATTGCAAACAAGCTTGACACAAACAAACAAACAAACAAACAAGAAAAAAACAAACATAATATACCATCACCTCTTTGTTCTCTGAAGATTCTTAAGGAACAAACTTAACGTAAAAGATGAATCGAGTTACAGATCATCGGACTCTACATTGAAATTAACAACAAAAAAGGAGAGGACGTGATTTGTCGTAACTTACCGGCCTGCTCATGCAATATGACCCGATGCGCCCGTCCGTCACATCTGCAAAGAAAAGAAACACTGTTCAGTACTTGTTCAACACAATCTCATTGATCCATAACGCACATGAACATCTAAAAAGAGCATATCAGTTATTTTTAACAAAGCAAGAATCTAAAAAAATAAAAAAAATAAAAAAAATAAAAAAAGCGCAGCGGCGACAAAGGGAAGCAGGAAATGTCACTTTTCCCGCTGCTCGTGACCACGTCCGGACTCGTGGCACCGACTTCGTACATGCATTTTTCGGCACCTCCACGTCTTGCGTCAGACCCCAACCCCGCTGCATCCTGCCATGGCGGCCTTTTCCAGCACCAGAAGCTCCTCCCTCCCTCCCTCCTTCCCTCTCTTAGCCCTCCATCACCGTCGCCGCAAATGCCTCCAGCAATATAATTTACCCTCCTATTCCTTTCTCGCCTCCTCTTCGTTCTCCCCGTCTCCCGTTCGTTCCAGTCTTCTTCCTTTCTTCCCCTTCCCCCTCGTTTTCCCTTCGCCTGCTTCACCTACACTCTTTCTGCAAGCTTCAGAAAAAAACCCCTCATCCCCTTCCTTTATTCCGCCCTTCTGCTCATCCTATCCAGCCCTCATCTCCTGGCCCTGAACCTCCGCCATCGTTCAATATTTTACCATCCCTGAGGCCCTTCCGATAGCCCTTCGCGTCTCCCTCAGCGTTCCAGCAACCCTTCCTCGCCCTCAGGACACCCACCCTGAAGCCCAGCCCGCCCTCAGCAAACTTCAAACCGCGAGCCCCGTTTCCCCGCCCAGAGAAACGAGCCCATTAACTACCCACGCCCGCCTGTGGTCCTTGCACACGCCCAATATTGTTCTCCCGAAAGTACAATGGATTTTCCCTTTCCCTGGCACCGCCGCCATGAATTCCGCGGTCTCTCGCAGTAATGAAGTGCTCTGCCCGTTCGTCACTACTTCTGTCCGCGTGAACAAAGGAATCTCTAAACCTCTGGGCGTTCACGTAGAGTTTCCGAGTCACGCTAAGAAAACTTTACTTCTGAAAAATGGGTCTGTCAAAATATCTTACGATGACTAATGCTGGTGTCCCTCAGATGAAAGGAGGGGCAGAGGAAGATGGAGGAGGAGGAGGAGGAGGAGGAGGAGGAGGAGGAGGAGGAGGAAGAAGAAGAAGGAAAAGAGGAAGAGGAGAAGGGAGTGGAAAGAGGAGGAAGAGTGAAGGAAAAAGAGAGAAAAAAAAACACATTTTGAGGGGAAGGAGTGGCAGGGTGGGGGTAAAGGAGATGGGAGGGAGCAGGGAAAGGGGCCGCGCCCCTGCTAGATTCACGTGACTTGCCTTGCCTCTTTGTCCCAGACTTTTACTGGATCAATTAGTTTCTGGGGAGAACGTGCCAGGTAGTGGCACACTTATATTTCCGCAGTGCCAACCTCCCTGCCCACGCAGTGAGCACGTCCTCGCCTCACTCAGACGGCACGCGCAGCAGGACAGAGAATGAAGGGAAAACGTCAGCAAAACACAAACAAAAACACGTACTTGCATGTGTGCGCCCGTCTGTGTGTCTGTTCGTGGGCGTCTGAGTGTGTGTGTCTGCGCGCCAGCCTCTACCACCCGCCCATTAGGTAACACAGTTATGGCATGATCAGGGCCCAGGAATGTGCGGGCGGCAACGGCGGCGGCGGCGGCAGTGGTGGCTCCACACGGATCGCTGGTCCACACGCCCATTGGCAAAGGTTTCTGCCGGTTTACTAAAGCGAGGAATGTGGAATCGCAGCTCTCCGGGAAGTCGTGCCTGCCGTGACGCCCCTTCCGCCCCTTCATTATCATGTCTCTCTCTCTCTTCCTCTCTCCCTCTTTTCGTATTCACACCTTGTCGTTACGTTTCCGTCCTCTGCCATGTCAGTCATTCGCCTTACGTCCCCTCATCCTCACGTCCTCTTCTGCCGCTGCTCCGGACGGTCGCCCTGCAGAAGTGGACTTGGCCGCCTGGCCTCGCCTCCAGTCTGCACTCGCACTTTACAGCCGTCCTGCCGTCAGTCCACTCGCGCAACGTTCACTTTTCCATGTTCGTAAATCACTTCGTCGAGTCAGCCACTTCAAGACAATTTTTTTAAGGTTTTCGACGGATTTAAGGAAGCTAAAGGCGAGAGTGGTTCCTAGTTTCCGTAGCGCCGTGTGCGCAGCGCAGTGCTTAAACATCTGGCATCCCAGCGAAGGAGGTCACAAACGAACATGAGCTTGAGGAACAACGCTCACCCTTGAGATCATGACCGAGGGAAACGGGTATGGCAGATGGGCATGCACTTTCGTCACGTGAGAGAGACACCAGGCGGGCGGGCAGGAGGCTCTGAGTCGGCATTCTGGCTCGGCCGTCAGCCTTCCTGTCAGCTCGGGGGCCTGCACGTGTCTAAGTCTGAGTCTGACGTCCCGAAATCAGGGCTGAGTGTTCACACGTGTCAACGGAAAGACGGGTGGGTGGGTGAACGTAGGCGGCGCCCCTCCCTCCCCGTGGGGTGGGTTTGGGCGTGTGGCCTGTGTGGGTGGGGCTCCCTGTAACACCTTGCTAAAGTATGCCGACGGCAAATCATCACTAATTGCACCTGAAGCACTTGGCCTCGGGAACCTCCCAACGTACGCGAACCCATTGTTACTGGCAGACTCACCATGCCTAACCACCACCTAACACTTCCGCCATATATTCGCACAACTGCAATTTTTCCAGCACGCCAAAAATAATGACACTGTTAAGAGAAAAAACTGACATATGAATATTTTGACGGATATTATTCACCGTAGCAATCATGTCATCACCATGACGTCTGCACACCATAATTGCACCAGAGATTGCACTAGCCACCATTTCCTTCACGAGTCAGTGCCTCCCTGAGAAATAAATCACCATCACAGAAGCTTGCACTATCACCAACCCCCCCTCCCATGCCACTACTATCACCACCGCATCGCCCACTATCATCTACACCACCACCAGCGTACGACGTCACGGCTCTCCGGCAGCGAACATTTGGCGAGGCGGTGCCAACCGTACGATGAAACAAGATCCTTCTCGTCTGTTTTTCCGTCCAGAGGTTGTGGTGCTCGCTCTAACCAGTCAAAAAAGTGCTAAGGAGAGAGAAGAAAGTAGCTGCGAGTCATTTGAGCGAAGGTAATAATTAACAAATGTATTATGGCATCATTCCTGATGTGAGGGAGAAGGGAGGGTAACTGCACGTGCTCAAATACGAATAAAAACGGAAGGTACACTGGGCTCAAAGGAAGGCATACGAACTAACAATGCAGTGTGCAGCGGATGTGACGAGAAAAAAAACTGACTGGCAGAAAGATATGTAATTCCACGTCGACTCAGGAACGCGGATGATGAAAAGTTCTGCCCAAAATAATTCATTTTCGAAGACTTAATACCATAAGCTCATTCGTCAGGTACTAAAGCGCACCAGAGAAATGCTCCTCCAACTTATAAAGAACCTCTAAAAATCTCCAGACTTGCCTCGCGGAAGCAAGCAAGGAGAACAAAGGAAGAGCTAACACACAAGAATAAAAGTCGGATGAGAAAAAAATGAAGAGAAAAAAAAAGCAAAATTAACGCCAAGATCACAGGGTGTACCAGATCTTAATGACAGTCCCATGACGGCGGTAGGAGCCCCACCTGTGGCCGAACCAACGCAACAAGTACTGTAATGTTTACGGTCCAGGGGGAGGGGGAGAGGGGGGGAGACATGACGCTGGGGGGAGACTCAGTCGAAGGGGAGACGAGGGGGGCAAGTAGATTACGGGGAGGAGGAGGAGGAGCAGGAGGAGGAGGAGGACGGGGGGGGGGGGGGAGGGGGAGGAGATACCCTGAAAGCTAAGCCTCGAGCAAAGTAGCGTCAGACATAAGGATAAAAAAGGGTGAAAATACAGATAAAAACCGAAGCTAAGAACAAGATAATATGATAAAGAGGGCGGGGAATGAAAGGAGGAGGCGAAGAAGGGAAAAGAGAGAGCAGAAAGAGTCGAGAGAAACATACAAATGATCATCAGGTGAGATGGAAGGGAACACAGAGAGTGGAATGAAAAAGAGGGGAGATTAAGAGTCAAGAAAAGAGGATCAAGAGAGGGGAAAAGCAGGAGGAAAGGGGACCAGAGAGGCCGAGAACAGGATGATTCTTACATGTGTGAGCGAATGTAGATAAAGAGAGATAGGGAGCAAGAGACGGAGGAAAATGAAGGAAAACGATTGTGAACGAACAGCAAAAAAAAACAAAAAATGACTGTAGTCAACAACAAAGCCGGATGAAACAAAGATGGGAAGGAGAAGGAGAGAAAAAGGTAAACAGTAACAAGCGCAGACTGTAAAGTTATTCTGTGTTTCCGCAAATGTTTAAAGAATTTACAAAACCAATTTTACCAATATCGGTTGACCTGGCACGACTACTGGATCATACAGTATTAACAGAGTCAAGGCTGTGCTGACTCAAGCGCTCAAGCTTAACAGAAGAGAAAGGGGAAAGGAGAAAGAGGGAGGGAAAGAGGGTGGGAGAGAAAAAGAGAGGAGAGAAGGAGAGAAGGAGAGAGAGAGAGAGAGAGAGAGAGAGAGAGAGAGAGAGAGAGAGAGAGAGAGAGAGAGAGAGAGAGAGAGAGAGAGAGAGAGAGAGAGAGAGAGAGAGAGAGAGAGGAGGCAGAAGAGGAAAAGAGAGGAGGGAGGAAGGGCAGCAGACAGAAGCGAGAAGGCCGAGCCCGAGGGCGACCTCGACGCAGGACACGAACCCTAGTGCAGGACACAAGACACACTCAAGTGCAGGACAGACAGAGGCCAGACAGCGCCACCTAAGTTTAGCGAGTGACGAGCCTCTCGAATCTCATTTATTGATCGGGCCTGGGTCGGTCGGCGCGCCTTGTCACACACACGCTAAGGTGCCTCACTGACTCACAGCCATTCCCCGCAGACACTCACAGACACCCCCCCCCCCCTTGCACATACTCACAGACACCACATGTTCGCCCCCCCTCCCCCCACTAGGTCTACGCTCTGGACGCCCCCTCC